GGAGTGTGTGTGTGTCGCCAAACTGGAGGTGTGTATGTGTGCGTGTCGCCGAACCGAACTGGAGGTGTGTGTGTGTCAGTTGCTGAACTGGAGGTGTGTGTGTGTCAGTTGCTGAACTGGAGGTGTGTGTGTATGAGTGTTGGGCACTAGTTGGATGAACCTCAGGATCCCCACTAGTGCTCTACCCAAGCAGTGCAGCCCAGAGAGGGAGAAGGAGGTGGGCATGCACCTACTGGAAGAAGCCAGCACTACAGTGAACCCTAAATCTAGGCTTGACCCGAGGTTAAAGGTCACTACTAAAGGTTATTGCTAAAGGTTACTACTGTGCTGTACATAGCCATCACCCTGCTAGGCCTAATCCTGACCTTTGACCCTTGACCCTGATTCTCTCCCCCTGCCTCCCTGGCATTCTTACCCATTCGTCTTTGCCAACTTTGTACCTCTGTGAAGCACAGAAGGCGAGAGCGACAGACGCCAACAAAAAAAACAGACAAAAGAACAAAAAGAACAGAACATGAGAGAAACGAAGGGGTGAGAGGACATGGAGATCCATGGTGCAGCCCGACAAACGACAACACAGTGGAATGACAGACAGAAGTGATACCAGGGGTTGGAGGTCGGAGGTCGGGGTTAGGGGGTCAGGGGGTCGGGGGCTGGTGTTATTGTGCAGGGGGAGGTTTGGAAAGAGAGAGGGATGACTGGAGGAGGAGGAGAGGAGGAGTGAGGGATGGAGGGGGGCAGAGTAAGCTAGGAGAGAGAAGGTAAACACAGGGAGACACTCACCTTGGCTCCGCAGGTAACATATGGAGACTCTCCGCTTCCCGGCTTCATCCCGATCACCTGGAACACATTCAGGGAGTGAGTCAGGCACACAGAGTTTACTATAATCCCTCCCACCCATTCCTCTCCTCCTTTCCCTCCATTTAATTCACCTGTCACTCCCTCTCTCCTGCTGGCCTGACCTATCAATTCAATTCAAACAGCTTTATTGGCAGGACCAACAAATTACAGTGTTGCCAAAGCATATAGAATAAAGACAACATAGCCACAACATTAGCCAGCAGCCATATCATCCTGCAACTCACAACTGGCAACCCACTGAAGCTCAGCAGGTGTGAGCCTGGTCAGTACCTGGAT